GGTGAGTGCTACAGACACCTGATGGTGAGTACTACAGACACCTGATGGTGAGTACTACAGACACCTGATGGTGAGCGCTGCAGACACCTGATGGTGAGCGCTGCAGACACCTGACGGTGAGTGCTACAGACACCTGATGGTGAGTGCTACAGACACCTGATGGTGAGTACTACAGACACCTGATGGTGAGTACTACAGACACCTGATGGTGAGCGCTGCAGACACCTGATGGTGAGCGCTGCAGACACCTGATGGTGAGCACTACAGACACCCGATGGTATAGCCTTAACTGTCCCAAATCTTCCAATTTCAATATGATTTTACATACACCCCAGGGGGTTGTGGTTACCAATGAGTTTAAAGCTTACTTTCAGCTGCTTCTTTCTCTTTGCCATGAAAAATTTGTACTCCAGGAGAAAATCAAGGTTATGGTCTGTGCTTTTCATCCCATGCAGAATCTTGCAAACTATGGATTAATTGACTTGCTCTTTTTTTCTCATGGAAATCAATACTTTTAAAGTACAGTTACAGCTTGTCATCATATAGTCACTGTTTTCCTTGCAGTGTGTCATCATATAGTCATTTTTTTCCTTGCAGTTTGTCATCATATAGTCACTATTTTCGTTGCCGTTTGTCATCATATAGTCACTGTTTTCCTTGCCGTTTGTCATCATATAGTCACTGTTTTCCTTGCAGTGTGTCATCATATAGTCACTGTTTTCCTTGCCATTTGTCATCATATAGTCACTGTTTTCCTTGCAGTTTGGAGCACAGAAGCTTTGATGCCCATTGCTGTTCACAGGTAAAAAATATAGAACAACTTTAATCTTGATGAACTTCGATGAAGTGAAAGTAAAGTGATATCAAAGCAATATTCTGCTGTGAATTCCTATAGCTTGCTTTATGAATTCGCAGAACATGATGAGTCTGAAGTGATAAGTCTGATGATGGTTATGTTTCTGATTCAGCTGTGATTATCTGTGACTTATGCTTGGTAATGATTCTCATTTCTTAGGCCAATATTACTCAAGATCACAAAGATTTCGGCGGACCTACAAGCTATGAATGTAGCTTTCCAGGATGTGAAGACAGAGAATTAATTCCTGTTAGTTGTCAGCATTGTGGAAACAACTACTGTTTAAGGTAATTGTTCTACTATAATTAGATATACAGTCGACTCTCGTTATAAAGAACACTTTTATAACAAAATACTTTTATAAAGAACAAATTCTGAGAATCCTACTTTCTTGCATTCTTATGTTTTTCTTTGCTTTTCCACTCCTCTTATAACAAAGTAATTTGTCTGGTCCCTGCAACATTGTTATAACGAGAGTTGACTGTACATGCACATGTATTAGCCTGAGAAGCTGTGCATATTGTGCACACCATATTGTTTGGCTTATGGACAGCATTGGGCATCATGTTGTATTTGTCAAAGTCACATGCACAGTTTGAATGACATACTTAAATTTTTGGGCACTTGTGCACTCCTTGTTTTCATTTGCCAGATTAATACCATGGCCCAGTTGCACTGTGTTGCTTTGCCAACAATTTTCTGGTCAAAGAAATCTGGCTTATTTCATGGATACTGTTACCAGGCAACCACTGTAAAAAGCACACCATCTTCAGAAGCTTAGTTGGTGAAATAGTGAAAACGAGCAGAAATTTTGCATCTGTAAATTTTCAGTCTGTTTGTAGAGTATATGTACGGTTGTCTTGCTGTAGGTAGCACATTTTTTGCCACCTGTGAATCACCATCATGGAATTAAGCTTGACTATTCAGCATTGTACACTGAGTGTACAGTGTTAAAAGTACATGTTGGGCAGTGCCAAAAAATAGAAAAATCCAAAAAGCTTTGATTTTGTGCTCTTATGTGCTTTGATGTGTCTAGACTTGACACTTTTACTTAATATTCTTTTCTTTGTCACCATGTTTATAGCCATCGCCACCAACAAGATCATGAATGCACAAAACTGGTTGAGGCGTTGCCAAGAATGGCCAAGACAGCAGAATTGGTTGAACAAATCCAAGGTAAAAAGGGTTTTTTAAAGAGTCTGTTCACAAATTTCAAAACGTTGACTGATGTGAATGTTGTCCAACATCTGTTTGTTGACTGCATACAAGACTGGATTAAAATTTTCATTGGAGTTACACTAGAGATTCCTAAAATTACTGCTATAAAAAGGCCAGGTTGTGATAGGCTGTTTAAACACGTGTTTGTTCTGTTGTTACATAATGGTAGTTACATCATGTTACAGCTCCTATTTTCTTTCAGAATTCTCTGAAATTTTTGAGTTTTCGACCTTGTAAACTTTCAGAGACACGGCATTAGTAATAGTTCTTCAATAACATTTGTGTCTCGTTTTGCTCTTTTATTGTGTGGGGGAATGCAGTCATCATTTTTCATATCAGATGAAAAAAAACAACTTTACACTTCAACATTTATGAAACGTTTTTAAATATTTATTTGTCAGTATATATTCTCAGACCTTTTGCGATGGAGGTTTTTGGCCTCTAAATAGAAAGCACTTGTTGAGTGTTTGTCTTGTTGCAGATAATTATTTTAAATCTTGTGATGTTACAGAGTCTTATAAAGCTAAAGGAGCCACAGTGAGTAAGAGAAAGATTGGTGCCAAGTCACAACAGACAGCTGCTAAGGTTGCATTGATGAAAATGAAGATGAATGCCTTAGGAGACAAGGCCATTCCACAGGTATTATGTTGGTTGCTTGTTCTTCATGACTGTCTGCCTTGAGCAGAAGCACCCCCTCATCAGGAATGTTCACCATTGTTTGTTCATCATTGTTTGTAAACTAGCAAAGTTCCCTCCAAAGGAGCCTCTGTTGCTAGGAAAATTGCGCCCTCTCTTGGTCCCGCTTGGGATGTACATATACAATGCAGGTACATGAATATGAAAGTTATAGCAGAGTTGAAAAAAAATTGTATTGGGATTTTAATATATGCACTGTCATGACTCTGAATGTTATAGAACATTGAAATTGAAAGTTAACACTGTGAATTGGAATGGGAAATTTTATACATTCACTATCACATTCCACGAGGCATGAAAATCATTTCTCTCTTGTAGGAAAATCTGTGAAAATCTTTTCCCCTTATGCGAAACTCAGTGAAAATCTCCCACTTTTGTGAAAAGATGTGAAAGTTCTTTTCCCACTGTGTGGGAATATTTACTAAAATCATCTCCCATATGGGAAAAGGTTTTCATGTTTCGTGAAATGAAAGTGAACTCCCTTGGAAGAAAAAATGTGTAAGAAAATTCTAATTTCCAGGCTAACTTTCATTGGCGGTGTACTGTACATTCGGAGTTACAGTTTAAACTGCATGTAAATGGAAAATGAATTGATACTTCAAATTGTTTATTGTGTTACACAGAGATGATTGCAATCAGCATTGACCTGATACTTACAAATATTCCATAGTATCAAACCAAAATATTATTTGATCATCCTGTATTAAGGGAATAGATATGTGCTTGGCTGGTCCTGGTCATAAATGCAGATTTAAGACTGAGACCGGCCAAGGAAATATTTAATTCCATTCATTAGTGCCTTTTTTGAGCCAGAGAGTCAAAAGAAGTCAATGTATGATAGATTTCCAACAATTTTGTTTTAGAATTTTACTTTCATTTTCCCGAACACCCCTGTCCATTTTATGGTATATTCCATGTATAAGTTGTTCAGAAGATTCTCCATATATGGACTTGATGCATGCATGGCATGGCCTCTGTGCCACATTGCAAGCAGACTCTTGACCAATAGGAATGGATTAAACTGATGCCAGAGTGTTCTTTATGCAGTAGGTGTTATCAAATCTCAGTGGGCATTATCAGAAAATAGGCAGTCAAGTTGAACGTTTTTGAATAGAGAAACTGTATGAGGTATCCAAATGGATCCCAACATTTGTACATAAATCCAATACAAAGCTTTTTGTGTTAGCCAATCTAACATGACTACTTCATTTACAAGTCTGTGAAGTCCTTAGGAATACTATAGTATGATTGCAGTAATGGCCATTTGATGGATTAAAAGTATTTTTTCACCAAAGTCACTTCCGTAATGATTTACCAAGAAGAATATCATTCATCCATATAATATTTGAAAATCATTTGACAACTCAAGTCAATGTCATTATCCATCTCGAGCAGAAAGACCCACTCATTGGTTGTAAAGAGCTTTATGCTTGGAAGCATTCATTTTGTTGGTTGCAATGCTTGCATTTCCTAGTCATTTGTGAAGCAGCGATGCACAGTTAGTGCCTGCCGAAGGAGCCTTTGTTGCTATGGAAATAGCATCCTCTCTTGGTCTAGCTTGAGACCCAGAGAATCAGTATTGTCAATCTGAATATTTAGAACATCAATCAATTTTATTTGTCTTAAAGCTTGTTTTTTATTTTGCTTTCAGAGTGAGCGACTCTATTTCAAAGTAGCTCTGCCACGAGAACATGATTCAGACCTGAAGGGCCAGGCCATATTTTTCTCCTCTGTTTGGAGTGTGGGGAGGGCAATTGATAAAGTTGCCTCTATCGTGAAACTTAGGAATGATAACAATGTCGCAACAGCTAAGGTATGAAAGCTTTTGGCAATTAGTCTACTTGTGGTTCACTTTTATAGTAAACAAAATAAAATACAGCAAATGACAGAACCTTTCTAATATTGCTTGAGAAAATTGTTATGTCTTAAAACCTTGGTTTTATTCTGTGAAGTGTTGAATGTTGTTTTTCTATACATGTATATGTTTTACTTGTAGAAATTAAGACTGTTCCATCCTGAAACTGGGGAGATTCTACCTGTGGATATGAGGCTAAGCAGCCTCTTAGAGGGTGAGACACCTCTTTACAATGGAGGATGCGTCATCCTGGAGTATGTCAAGGAATCTTGCACTGTTCTAGAACATATTGCAGATTATTTATGAAAGACGATTTCACCAACTCCCCCTGAGTATTGACACCTAGTAATTCTTAAGGTAAGCCAAAACTTGTGTTAGCTTCATGAAAAATAATGTACGGTCGTAAGTTGGCCACATATTTTTTGAGCAACATTTGGCAAATTTGTAAGTTCACTTGGACAGAGGCTTCTTTGATGTGTCCTCGCTATCAACAAATTCTATCCCTGAAGTGTCTCCACAGCTGACTGCTTACTTTGTCAGTAATACATTAATACAGAGTACACGATGAAATGATGTTTCTTTCAAGCATGCGATTCTCAAACTTGAACCAGTTGACTATTTCCTCTTCACTCCTCTTTGAAATTCCCCCAAATTGGACAAACAAAAATTTAATGGAAGTTGACAGAAAAATTGGTTCAAAGCTTAAGCATCTGTGTGAGTACTTAAACTGGCAATTGCCTTAATCATGTCAGGTGGTATGTAACAAAATAATATACCATAAATTAGTGTATTTTGTAGAATAGCTTAAACTGGCTAATCCTCCCAGATACTATCGCATTGTTTTTAAGCAAAGTGAAACAGGTGCTAAGTAACATACAGTGTACTGTATTACTGTTATTTACTTTGTGAACAACCTAACCACTGCTTGGTTTTTGTCCAAAGGCAGGCAGAAATTTTCATGAAAACTCATTTATATTAAGTGAATATTGATATGAATTCTGTTCCCCATTTTCATTCTGGTAACCACATGCTCACATGTGGTATCAGAAAACATGATATTAGTAAGAAAATCTATGTGGTAAAATGAGTCAGGAATTGTTGAAACACGTCTTGACTTGTAGACCTTTGAATCATTGAAATTAGCAGGAAGACTTTGGGATCTGATGCTTGTTATCCTGTAATATTCTGATTTGCCTGTACTTTTTAGATCCTACTACTAGCACTGCTAGTTTCAAGTATTTTAGTATTAGAATGTTTGACCTGCACTTAATTGGGTACTCAAATATTGAGTCAATTTGGCACTGCCCTACCAATGACCAAACAGCTGTTAAAGTGTGGAGCCCCTTGAAATTATTTTTCTCACAAAGGCCGTCATAAAAGTCAAAACATGAAGAAGTCCTAGACTCATTTTGTAGGATTTCACCATGTGCCTTATTGTCTGAGATCTTTTTGTTGTTTTTGAAGTTGTGATGATCCCTTCTTGTATGTTGAGTTTGAGGAACCAAGTTAACTGGAGATAAATATGAGTCAGAGGGTCTTCGTTATTACGATGCCTGGTACAAGCGTTGGCTTGATAATTGATCTAAATCATGAGTTTCCTATGAACCTGGTTGGGCAGAAATGCAAGACACCAGAACATAAAACCTAAAAATAGAAACACAGGAACTGAGAGGAGTGCAGGACAAGGTGGCTTGACTTTCTGGTGAGAAATTTCAACCCCACCCCTCCTTAAGACAGATTTCCCTTGAGAGGAGACCATGTATCACACTGAAAGGAGTCAAGAAAGATTTAGTTTGGCCAAATATACTACATGTACTTGCAGACCAGATTGTCTCAGCTACAACATTACTGTCAATTTTCAATTTAATGTTAACAGACCATTGAATAGTGTCAGCCTTTGTTGAAGAATTGGGATGCACAGCCAAAATGCTTTCGTTAAAGTAAATTTCAGACTTGATCATGAGTTACATGTACCCACAGACTGTAGAAATCCACCAGATGCTTTTGTGCCATTTGGAAAGATTCTGCAGACTGATGAAATTCTCGGTTTCACTGATGTTAATGGATTTCATTTCCTCAATTTGAAGTTCTACATATTCAAGAAACTTCTCAGCAAAGATGTTGATAGAGTGTGTAAGAGTAATTGCCAGTCCATCATGTTAATAAAGTCAAATGAATGGCCACTCTGGCATGAGTAATGTTATACAGTGTACCAATGCATGTAGTCATGTTCTCAAGCCTTAGAGGTACATGTACGGGTACATTTCACAAGCTACTTGTCACTTCACACATGGGTTGTGAAAGAGTGCCCTCTAGAATTTGTGGCAGAGTACTTGTACATGTACACAACTTTACTAGTTCTCCATTGCTGTCTTCTTTTGTTCTGAAGTTACATTGAAATTAATGCTATTGAGTATCTGTGGTGTCTGACAGACTGGTGGGATAGATGATGATTGTTTTTGAGGGGTGGGGCTGGGGGGATAGATGATGATTGTTTTTGAGGGGTGGGGCTGGGGGATAGATGATGATTGTTTTTG